ATAATGTTTATACCTAAATGATTTTTAAATATTTATATAATTATATTTATACAATATATTTTCTTCCTGATACATTATTGTTAGTTGAATTACAATTCGATTGATTTATGATAAATGTGGTCCGATATCGATCCAATCTTAATAAAGTCCGACGTTGCAATTGTGATAAAATTTGCATACGTTCGTGCATTACAAGAATATAAGCAACAGTAATAGCGTTTAATCGTTATTTTTTTCAGGAAAAATTAGAATGTCATTTATGACTTTGTATAAAATAAATATGGGACAAAGCACATAAAAATTAAAAAGATCCATGATAAAAGGATCTTAATTAGAAAGCCAGTTATTTACTGACAAGAGAAAACAGTACTGAATTCACAATTTGTAGAATTTTCATTGATAATTAATCAACTGGCTATTTCAATTTGGGTTATGATGTCACAACTAAATGTAAAAAATTATCAGGATAACTTAAATGTTCTGACATCCATTGAAGAGGTGTTTCCAAAGGTGGGGTAATACCATGAGTAAACACTGTAACTAAATAAAAAACATAAATAAATAACACTTAAACATATAAAATATATAAAAATAAATACAAAAAAAATATTCACTTACTATTTTCATTATCTGGAAATACTTCATTCAATAAATGCCTCAATGTTTTTCTTTGACCTTCTTCATTGACAGGTTTCACAAGTTTTTGTACATATTTATCCTCACTTGTATAACATCGAAATGGTATGTATTTAAAACCTTCCTCTATGTTACTAGCCTCCATAAGTTTTCGATTCACAGACCAAAATTGATCAAATTTATCATTCAATAAACCAGACCATAATTGATTGTGATCTTTCTTTTGCATACTAGATACAACTTGCCCTCTGTGCTTTAATACATCTGCTTCTTTAATACATGAGAGAAAATATGCTTCCACTACTTCTCTAAAATATAAATTTAATCAAATTAAATATTTTATTATAAACAAATATTAAATTAAGTTTCTATATATTTACTTATTTTGACAGTGCATCAACACATTTTCTGGAAACCTATCAAAGTGGACAACAATATTCCAAGGTAATTCAACATCATTGGAATAAATATCCAAAAGAACACCAATTGGATAATGCCATTTTAAAGGAATACCATTAAATTCTAACCACATTTCATGTTCTTGCTTACTGTCACTTTGTATATGTCTTATAAAATGCTTTCGTATCTAATTGAGAAAACATATAAAAATGGTAATTAAAAATTATAAATGTATTTTGTTACTGATATCATTTATTTGTATTATTTACCTTATCTGTGCAGAGTGGAAAATAACTTAACCTAGGCACCATAAGATAAAATGGGTCAGGTCCTTGCAATTCACAAATTTCCTCAGAATCAAGCGTAAAACAAACAGGAATTTTACCATCCCAAATTTCTCTTAGTACCTCCCTGTCATTCGCCATTATGAATACAACGGCAAGTAGTGTTTACTCTAATTCATTCGGATTTTTAATAACAATTGAATATCTCTTAAAAGGTTATGTTTTTCGTCTGCTACAAGAATTGAATATATTCAGATAATGTCTACAATGATAATATGAAGCAATCGATATGTTAGAAATTGAATATATATTTTAGTAGTTATAGAGTTTACAATTTTTCTCTAAGATGGCGTTATATACTTAAAAATTTATAATCGGTAATTTAGAAATTTACTCACTATAAATAAATAAGATTACAAATAAAAAAATAGATTTAATATTCAATGCATTTTTTATAGATTTTTGGAATACATGTTTTTTTACATAGAAGAAATCTTTGAATGGCATTCTGAGAAAGAATTCCAAGTAATAGAAAAAAGATTTTTTAAAATTTCTATAATGGTATATATCTGATATATTCTCATACGAAGCATTTTAATAAAATATTTTTAAAAATTAGAAAATATTTATTATTATTTATAATAAATTATTATTAATATTATTATAAAGATACATTAAAAAGCTGAAAATATAATAATATATATTTTTTATATTAAAATTAAGATATATTGTAGTTTTGAAAAATGATGAAAATGTATTCCATTGATATTTTGTATCTCATCTATGATTATATTTTAAAAACAAATATAGACAAAAAAAATATAGTGAGAGAATGACAGAGATAAAAATATGGAAATCAGCGCCATCTCTAGAGTGCCGCAAATGAAACTAATATAAACAAGGAGAGCAAATAATAAGAAAAGGATAGAGATAAAGTAAGAATTAATTACTAACGCCATCTATTGGGATTTAAAATAAGTAAAGAATTAAAAATTTTCTAGTGCATTCAAAAGATGGCGTTAATTGTCAATTCTTAATCTACTTTATCCTTTCTTTGAAGATTTTCTTAGAAATCAATAGATGGCATTACTAATCAATTCTTACTTTATCTCTATCCTTTTTCTATTATTTGCTCTCTTCATTTACATTAGTTTCATTCAGCGGCACTCTAGAGATGGCGCTGATTCCCATATTTTTATCCTATCTCTATCATTCTTTCACAATGTCTCCTTGTTTAATTTACTTGCATATATTTTTACCTTGTTTTCTCTCCTTATCTATAAATTTTGTTTTACAAAATTTATATATCTCTGATAATTATATATTCTAACAGATAGATATTTTAGTAAAATTATAATAATCTTGCAACAAATATAAATGTTCTTCGAATATTTTTAATAAGTATACTTTCAATATAATATAGCTATTATTACGTTGAAATAATACATTAATTAAATTATACAATTTACATTAATTAAATTATTCCGTATAATAAAAATAACAATCGAAAGTTGACAAGAAAATATAAAAGTAAGAAATATCATTTCAGAATATGGGTTATAAAATTTCATAAAATATTGGATAAATCTTTTTTATTTGTTTTTTTTTTTTTTTCTTAAATTATCAATTGATATTTCTTAAATTAAATACTTTAGATTCTAGAGGGTGCATCGAATTAAATTTCTGGGTTCTTGCATAGTCGATTATGTACATAAAATATAAAATCTTATAATATGATAACTCTTTTCTATATCTTCTCTAATCTATCGCAATTTTTAAATTTCAGGTCTATTTTTGATCAACAATATTTTACAATTGAATAATCAACCAGACACAAATATATGTAAAAGGAAGCATGATAATTCAAAAAATTATTGAAAAGACATATGGTTCTTTTAAATATAAATAAGTGAAGCAGATTTCTTATCTGTTAAGCGAAGATGTCGGACGAGAGAATATATTTATCGGTTTGCTTGAACTTTTGAACTTTGAGAGGGCAGAAAGAAAATTCACTCTCTTTTCATCATAATGATAAAAGTCTTTTTTTCATTCTAACCACTTAGATATGCACAAACCATGACGTCAATTAGACTAATCATTAAATCGTAATATGACTAAACAAGAGATCAATTCTAAACACCTGATATTCATTCTATTTCTGATAAAGAACATTAAACTTGAGCTCCATGTGTTACATCATATATATAAGAATTTATAACAAACATATATAAGACAATTCTTTTTACCAATTACTTTTTTAATATCTACGTTATATAACATAGTTTGCAATTTTTAATAAATATCCATAAATCATATATTATTTCTAATATCTTCACCGTTCTTTTCAGAAAAATTATCTATATATATGAATATAACCTATCATTTTATCACTCAATCCAAATTAAATATATATATATATATAAAATGGGATGTGTAAACGTATTATATTAGAAAGAAGATTAATCGTAAAATTAATTCAAATCCAGAAGAATAACTTATATATACAGAAGAAATACAATACAGGAGAAAAATTTTGCATTTTCGAAATACTGCATATTGGTTTATTTATTCAATGTGATGATAATATTAGAATCATCGTAGATATTATATTATCGACTTTTCCGTAAGTAGAATTTTTAATCATCATGTCTGGTAATAACTAGCACGTCTTACGTAGAAATTGCAAATGAACGACATGGCATCAATTTCGCGCACAGCTGCACGCAGGACCGCATGTGCGTGTCTCGCTCGTGTCTCTTGTCGACAGCCTGACCTGACTGTCTGTTGTGATAAATGAAAGTTCCTGATAAATTTGTCTTATAAATAACGACTCGATATTGGGTGAATGATCATGAGGATGAAAATTTCATCGTGGTACAAATCGTTCAAAGGAGATGAATCAAATTAACATATTTTATCCATTGATAAAGTTAACCTCAAAAAAAAAAGAATTCTTTTGTTTCTTTCGTTATATTTATAAGTAAAAATTTACAAAAAAAAACAAGAATTATCATTTTTAACATTATAATATTCTGGTGAAGAAAAAAATCCACATAAATTATTGTTATTAATTGGGTTATCTCTTTCGATTTGGTGATCAAAGAAAAAAAAAGAAATGCCCACGCGGACAGCGAATCAATTTAACTAAGGTCATCAATGAATTTATTTTTGGCAGTAGCTCTTAATTGGAAATGAATTTCTCTTAACGATAAATGGAAGAAAAAATGATTTAGAATCTTGAATTAATAAAAAATGGGGATGCGAATATATTGTGATAAAGTAATATCCTTGCGAAGAATATAAATATATATATATATATATATCTTTCGAAGCTGATGCATTTTAATGCATTTTATTCTTTCATCAAGGATAAGTGGCCCACTTAACCATTTTTGATGGTATTTTTATATATATTTTTTTTTTATTAATATTCTTAATGTTTAATGATGAAATGTTTAATTATTAATCATTTTTTTATATTTATTATTTCAGGATAGATTGTTTAAAAAAATGAAAAAAATATTAAACAATATAATAAAATCTTTTTTGTATTTCAAAAATACTATAATAATACTATAATAATTCCAATAATAAATTATTATTTTATCTATCTATTTTTTCATAATATAAAAATTTTTGACATTTTTTATGCCATTAATATACTAAAATTTTTATTTTGAGGAAAAGTTATTGCAATAATTTGTGCAGATAAATAAGAAAAGTAAATTTTATTTTAAAAAGTAAGTGTAATTTATAATAATTATTTCATATTTCTTAATTTTTAAAAAATTAATTGATTAATTTAGAAAAGAAGTTATCCATGTATATATCTAAATGTGTAGTGCTGTATAGTAATGATAAAATTTTTGAATTTTATCATTATATATATATCATCATATTATATTATATTTTTTAAATATGTCGATAATATTAAAAACATGAAATGATTGAATTCTTTTAAAAGAATAAAAATTTAGAAATCATTAAAATTTAAACATACGAATTTCTGAAAGATTTTATATAATGAAAGGAATCAAACGATGATCCTTCTTGTTTGTATCGATATCGAATCTGCTTCTGACTAGTTTCAACGATAAAAATATGACAATAAGGCGGCAAGTAAAGGGGAGAACCTATCGCGGGAATAAAAGACATTTCGTTTGCGCTAACACGAGCTTCAATAAAAACTCAATTTATAAGACAACCTTCGACCTCGCTAAATGGCTCGCAGCTATCTTTGCCAAGTTTCAACGTCGAATTCCAATATGATCGTCAATATAAACGGCAAAGTTTACAATAATTTTGACTAAAATGCCATGAAAATTGAGCTGAAAACCTGAAGAAAGAACGTTCTGTCTAAACAGATTATCAATCAAAAAATTAAAGTTGTTCTCATAATAATTCTCAACTTATGATTTATAATTTTCTACATTTTTTTTTACAGGTAACTTTATTTTCCTATGTTTTTGAAGTTATTGGCCTGAAATCCTCAATCTGAAGTTTCATCTGATTCTATTATCATATTATTATTATTAAAAAAATAATGTATTAATATTAAATATTTTAAGGTAAGTACAAACTAATAATGTAATTATTCTTTCTTAGCAAGTCTTATATGATTTTTTTCCATCAAAATTAGAACGAGGTCACGTCATCAAGCGTCAAAGTGGAGTAGATACGAGCACGCGGTGTGCAAGCCAATTACTTCCGGTTTCTCGATGCCGGAACTGCACGCACCGCCGGCTCGTTGTCGCGACGACCCACTCGCGGCAGAACTCGCCCAA